ATATATATATATATATATATATATATGTGTATATATATATATATATAAATATATATGTATATATATATATATATATGTATATATATATATATGTGTGTGTGTATAGTAGGGTTTTACCACTTATGTTTATTGAGCTTTAGATGGTGTTAAAAGTAGTTTTTTTGTTTGTTTTTCATCAGTTTAAAGAATCAACTTCAAGTTGTTTTTTTTTTACCACAGATTACAGACTGAAACTAGTGACCACGAACATTTAACAAAATGTTAAACCTCTTGTTTATGCGGGTCACGGACCTCCTGTGTATCTCTGTAAGTGCTCTGCAGTCACGCCCAGGTGTGGGTCAGGTGTACATTTCAGTTCTTACGGTACATTTCCTTTAGAGTTCTTTATTTCAGGTTCTCCAACAAATAACTGTAAAGTGTACACTGTATTTATTTTGTTTGTTTGTTTTTATTTCAGAAATGTCAGGAAGGTTTAAGCTGCCTTGACGCGAATAGGATCGGTTGTTTACTTTGTGCTAATAGCGAGCAATTTATTTTAGTTGTTTTAATTAATTCTGTGCAGACTGGTGTGTTCTTTAAAAGAGTTGTTGGCCAGCGAATGAGTTTTTAAGTGACCTTGTTTACCTTGCTCTGTACAGCTGCTTCAGTGAAGCCTCGGTGTTACCGAGATAAGACAAGCAGAACGACAGGTCTCAATAAACTGTATTTTTCTATCCTGTTTGAGAGAAATGATCTGTGTTCATCTGTCGGCACCCTGAACTGTCAAACGCTGATCCACCGCTCTAATGTTGCTTGAAGCAGTTCTTTTGAGCTGTGGGAGGTGAAGGTTTCCGTCTGGGCTGTTGTCATGGTCAGTAGCAGCCTGGCTGGTGATTCATCTTCAGCTTCTATTTGTCGCCTGCAGAGGAGCTCAGAGCAGCGACGTCCTGACAAATTAAACACAGTCGTATGAAGATTTGATACTTTGTGTCTTTAATCAAAAGCTTTCAAAGTGCCAGATTTGTGGTTTTTTTTTTAATACAAACTATTTTTTTTCCCAATTATATTCTAATATATTTATGAAGAGGACATACACTAAAGGCCTCTGAAAACTTCCTTATCACTTCCCTAAAAACAGTAATCTCATAGTTTTCTTCATAAATTACAAAAATTCTATTTTTCACCTCTAAACTCTTACATATGAACATGTAGGTATACGTCCACTTGTCCACACAGTTCAAAGTAATCTTTCCCTCTTATTCCTGGATATAAGCCTCGAGGGACAGATGTAATAAACTTTCTATAAATAAAAAGGAATTTGTGTTTGTCAGTTGCAGGATTGCTTCAGAGCAGAAATCCAGGACAAACAGAGATTGGTAATTTCTGAGATGAGGATGTTTTTTTCTCTCAGGCTGTGGACCAAGTCTTCTGTTTGACTCGGACATGGAGGACAAACCCAAATAATGAGGAGCAGACATTCAAGGTGAAGATTTAATGTTGCTTTAGTGTAAAAAAATCAATCTTTAAAATATCCTGATGCATGCTCAATAATCCAGGTAGAAAAATCTAAAAAAGTTAAATCTGGTCCTCTGGACATTCAAAAAAAACAAAACAAAGCAAATCAACAAAAAAATGTAGAAACGTTTCGTCTCTCATCCAAGAGACTTCCTCAGTCTGAGGAGCTGTATTCAGCTCAGTCTCTTAAATAGCACCTTCTCAGAGTGGATCAACCAGTTTTGCTGCTGACAACCAAAACCAGCTGATCACATGGTCAAGAAGGACCATCAGCCTAACAATGGATCATTAGCACACTGATGGCAGTTTACTACTCACAGAGGGTTGAGTGATACTAGCAATCACAGCATTGTAAGAGGGGACAGTTGAACACGTAGGCCTCCACCCCTGTTTAATGATGGATGGTTTCTTTTCACAAAGATGGCCTCCTTTACTCCTCTCTCAAACCATCGTTCCTCTCTGTCCAGGATGTGAACATCTTCATCCCTGAAAGAGTGACCGCTGACCTGGAGATGAGTGTAGACCGCAGAGTCCTGGCCTGATGATGTTGATCTTCTGTGCTGGGCCATCCTTTTGGCCAGTGGCTGTTTAGTTTCCCCGATGTAAGACTGATCACCCTCCTGACACTGAACAGCATACACAACATTGCTCTGTTTGTGCCGGGGGACTGGATCTTTGGGATGAACCAGTCTTTGCCGTAATGTATTTTGGGGTTTAAAAGCCACTGGGACGTTATGTTTAGAAAATAAACGTCTCAGTTTCTCTGATACTCCCTCAACATATGGAATGACCACTGGTCTGGGTCTGGGTTCCTCCTTTTCACCTGTTGGCTGACTGGAGTCCTGTTTGAGTTTCTTCTCTGCTTTCAGGAAGGCCCAGTTAGGATATCCACATTGCTCTAGAGCCTGTCTTGTGTGGGATTTCTCCTTCTGCCTGGCTCCTGAGCTAGTGGGGACGCTGTCTGCTCTGTGATACAGAGTCCTGATGACTCCTAACTTGTGCTCCAAAGGGTGATGGGAGTCAAACTGCAAATACTGGTCTGTGTGGGTGGGTTTGCGGTACACCTCAGTTTGCATCAACTCTGTGGATAAATACATCAAGTTCACACGAGAAGATGTAAAAAATGGCAGGTTGGCTTTCTTGGACTGTGAGGTCTCAGTCTCTGATAGAGGACTTTTGCAAAATTTGTAAAATAGTTGAGGGACCGACTTCCTTTTTGGTGCATGGCTGCATCAAATAGAAGAAAGAAAGGTTCCTTCTAAAAACTGTTGCCAGGTCAGAATCCAAGATGGCCACCACCATGTATATGTATAAACTTTGTGAGCTGGACAACTTGGAAAAATAAGCATCAAGCCAACTTCCTTTTTGGTGGAAGACCTTGCACTAAAAAGGGTCACCATCCCCCCCCCCCCCCCCCCCCTCTCTGCCATTGTGCCTGGTGGTGGGTAAAAATGCTCTCTGCTCGTCACAATTTGTCAATCTGCACCACCTCGGACAAGAAAAATAGAACTCCTTCCTGCATATGTTGCACTAAAAACATTAAGGTTTACTTGCATTCTTTGTTCAGTTCCAGTCCAGAAAAAACACTCATCTTGAAAACTACAAACATTCACTGTTCAAATCCTTCAGGACGGGGCACTTCGGCGTACTGCTTGTTGTTGGTGGATTTTATTTATAAACTGATTTTAATTCAATCCCAGTCGTCTAACA